TTTTTGACCATGCAAAAAGCTCAAGCGCTTGGCGCGAAATTGCTGACATTATAAGAAGTCACCTAGCAATCGACTTTTAGCCCTCATAAATGTCTTTTGCGGCTTAGATATAGGCAGAGTAACATATGAAAACAAAAGCGTTTTGAATGAAAGCAAGAGAACAAATTTGCTCTCGTGACAAAAGCGAGGTGTGTATACCGGCTGTATCTACACAATAGTCCATAGAGGACAAAAGATTAAACTTGGTGAAAGTCGGTTTGAATTTTCGAAATGAATTGAAAGTATACTTTTTAGAGGCAGCTTTTTGGATCACAAACGCAGCCGTGAGAGTCCAGACAACTCTGCATCACTACGGAAATAAAAATCACATTAAGTCAGTTTTACACGTCACAAAAAAAAGGTCGATATGTTGTGTGTGTTCAGATGAGCTGCCATGACGAAATGTTTTAAATCTCCATCGCGTGTTTATTCGAGCTTTGTTTTTATTATATATTGACCGCATTCTGCCCAGCTCTACGCAGGATACCGCTACAGTGAGTACCCGAGAGTACGGTCATTCTCTCTCAATATCTGGGTGCGTTTATGAAGATACAAGCACTACATGTACTGAAACCCAAGCCAATCATTGCCTTAAAGTTCAAAGCAAGCGCAGTATCTAGGGTCCTACCGATGCATTGCACTGAAGAAAACAAATTAAAGCACTCATTCAATTCGACGACTCGTATGGAAATATCTGTCAAATTAATGGTAAGGCAAAATGCATTTTTATTGATCTATCGTCTATATGCGGGTTGTCAAATGAGAGCCGGATCTTTAATCTATGCTCTTTGCCGGTATGGTTTTAAAGCCGAGTTTGGCGGAGTTCTGATCGATCTTAACATTATGATATGGAGCATTCGACATTATATGTGTTCACTGTGGAGGTGAGGGCTTTATAGAAAGAAAACACATGCAAGGATATTGCTTGGGTGGTATAGTTGAAACTTCTGAAGGATTCAGATCTTTCTGGAGAGTACCTTACTCAGTTACCATGCCGTCAAATTTATCATGGGTGGATACCAGGGCACGAATTTCAACTGGCGTCTGAATTAAAGCTTGTTGTCGATATTTATAATCTCTATTACACGATTTGCAATGGATTTGAATCATGATTGAATAGTTGTTGCGGAGTCAATAAAGTTACTTATCTTGAATTTAAATTTAGTTGTTATACTTCTATTCTCAGCGGTTACTTCTGAAGAGTGTAT